CGGACGAGCATTACAGATCTCTCCTTTAAGCTGTTCCCTTGGGTACCTGAGCCACAGTGATGGAAACGTACTAGCACACAGGGAGATCCCATTAGAGAATGGGTATGGCTGTGAACTGGAGATATAGATCTCAAAAAGGAAATCAAAGTATTATACAAGGATTCGCTTCCCACCATCAAGGGCTTCTCTGGTTTTGAATTTGGTATCATTAGAATTACACAATATACATTCCCTTGTGCCTGATTTCTTGTTGTGGTGATGACAGAATATATGTGAAATCGCTGTTTTGATCATTTAAATGTGCAGTTCAGGGGCAGAACATGCACTCACACTGTGACACAGCCATCACCAGGCCTCATCTCTCCTCAGACCTCAGCTGCAGAGCTGAAACCCCTGCTGGGCACTAACTCCCCCCCCCATTCCTTCCTCACTCCCTCCAACATCCTACTGTCTCTGAACTGATTACTCTAGGACCTTATAAGTCAAAGAATGTATATGCTCTCTTATGGCTGGCTCATTTTACTTTCCATAATGTCTGAGGTTTATCCATGTTGTAAGGTGTGAGAATACCCTTTCTTTTTAGGAGCTGAGTAATGTCCATTTTACATAGAAACTGTATTTGTCAGTTCATCCAACAACAGACATGTCTCACTTTAGTATAAGAGAGATCAGCCAGGCTTTTGTATCTAGTGGGAAACTGAACGTACAAACAGACATGGACAGACCATTCACACAGACAGCTATGACAGACAACTATGATTCACCACAAGCTACCCAGGAAACCCAACAGCCCATGAGGCAGTCTGCCACCGGCTATATTTTACCGGCAGCCAGCCTGCTCTCTCTGGTGGCAATTTAAGGAGCTGAACCATACCTTCTCTCACAACCAGCCTAACAAGGTTAGGGCTTCCCTAATTTCTGCCCATTTCCAATGAGGACCAACCAGCAGCACAAAAATGTCATTAGCTGGCCTAGAGCACTGGTAGCCCATAGCCTCCAATCAAAGCCTTCCATGGTTTCCCACTGTAGACTAAGGGTCCCAACCCCTACTTCTGCTTTTGAGTCTCTGCACAAGTCAAGTGTGACAGAACAAGCTCTAAACCTTTGCTTTTCTCATTTGGTCACTTTGCTTCCTTCCACAACAGCCACTGACTCATTTTCAGTGCTGTGTAGTACTCCATGACAGCAATTCACATAGCTTATCCACTCTGTTGTCACTGGGTGTCTGGATGGCTTCCCTTTATAAATAGAGGACTATGACCATGAATGTACCTGGCCTCTTCTGATCTCAGAACCTAAGTAGGATTGTGCCAGACTAGTACTTGGATGGAATATCACTGTTACAGGCCCAGCTGCTCATGGGGCTGAGGCAGGAGGACTGTTAATTCAAGACTTGTCTGGGTACATCTTGGACAACTTAGTGAGACCCTTTCTCAAAAAAAAAAAAAAAAAAAAAAAAAAAAAAAAGAAAAGAAAAGCGGGCTAAGGCTCAGTGGTAGAGTGCTTACCTAGCATGCATGGGACACTAGAACACAGGAGACTCTGGTCTCAGTTGCCAGCACTGTGATGACTACAATTACAATAATAAATAATGCCATGAATATGCATGTGCATGCCTTCTTGCAGAAATCATGATGGGAGATGTCATTCTGTAAATATGTTTCTCATACTGGTTAATTAATAAAGCACTGTTGGCCAATAGGAAAGTAAGAGAGGAGGGACTAGGAGTCAAGGAGGAAAGAGGAAGTAGTAAGGAGGAGTCAGCATGGAGAGTCTGGAGAGAGCAGGATGCCAACTGGCTCTCCCGTAAGAGGAGACCACATGGAAATACATAGATTAACAGAAATGGGTTAATACTTAAGACAGAGCCAGCCGATAAGAAACTAGTACCTGGCCAACAGCATTATATCAAATACAGGGTCTCTGTGCGTTATTTGAGGCTGGCACAGCAGCGGGACGAGACCAGCGGTGGGTGGGAAAACCTTACTCCTTACAAAATCACACCCAGGAATCGTAACGGGGAATCACCCAGGTACACTCAGCAGTATTAAAGAGCTCAGTGGCTGCACATCCTCACTGACCTTCAGCGAGTCCTCTCTTCTGTTTGAGCTGTTAATGGTGGGTATGCAGCGCCGGCACAATTGTATTGATATGTTCTTGATTAAAGTTGAGTACTCTATCATAACAGCACTGCAAACACATGAATCTTAATAGTGGCGGTTCCTTGATCAAAACGTCTGATGGGGACCTCTCTCTCTCTCACACACACACACACATGCACACGCACACACATGCACACACACGCACGCACACACACACGCACACACAGACACACACACACGCACGCACGCACAAACGTACGCACACACGCGCACGCACACATGCGCATGCACACACACGCACATGCACGCACGCACGCACACGCACGCACGCTTTCACTTACCTGTACAGGGCTCTGTACTGGAGCAGGTGGCCCTCCCGCCCTCCTGGGCTTCACACGAAGTCCTCTCACTGATGCCTCCTGCTTTGTTTCCTTTGCGGCACTTTATCCTACTCTGAAAACTACCATTTGTTCACATGCGACACAGACTTGTCATGGATGAGGGTTACAAACTAAACCAACCAGTGTCCTTGTCCTGCATTAGTGACTCAAAACTCCTGAGCATTGCTGTCTTGGAGGGTGAGACTTTTCTGGAAATGGAGGCCATCTCTTGGCAAAGCTCCAACAAGGAACTCCGAGTGTCTGCATGTCTACACAGCCCTCTTCTGAAATCAACAGTAAACGTATAGAGTACTTTATGCTTAGTTGCAAATAAGACTTGGTTTGCTCTTGGCTATTTATAAACAAGACCGGGAAAAAAGCACTGGGACTTTATACAAGACAGCCAGTGTATCTGTCCGTTTGAGAGGTGCTGGTGTGGCTTCTCCAGCACCACTCTAAAACAAAACAAAACAAAACAAAAACAAAAACAAAAAACAAAAACAAAACACTGGTGTGCATTTCCAAAGCCACCCTACTGAGCAGTTCTGCGGGCTGTGAATAGTGCAGGTACTGAAGGGAAGCCCTGAGGACAAGCTGGGTATCTGAAAGGCTGTCACATGCCGATTGCCCAATATAAAATCACAGCATTGGTCCTCTCTCTGGTCAGATCGAGAACCTGACCAATGGGAACATCTGTCAAGCCTGGCAGGCGTCAGAAAGGCACGAATAGTGTTTCAGGGACTGAAGTGAACTCATTAGGCAAACAATAAAAACGCCATCTCTCCTCCACTCCAAGAGAAGCAGAACAGCACAGAATGACAGCATTAAATATTACTGAACTTGACTTGTAAGATCTGCACTTACTTTGCCACATCAATCTGTCCGCTCCCCACTACTGAGTGAACTTTTACGACTAAAGACAATCTGAGGTCATTCAGCCTGGATGAGGATACACCACCCAAGGGCGTGGTCCCACAGCTGGCCCATGTCTGACCTGGCTGTGTGAGGATTCCCAAGCAGCCACACACAGGCTCCTGTCCCAGTGTGTCTTCCCGCAGGCTCATCCCCTCCCTTCCTCCCCACCCTCTGCCAGCCTGCCTTCTTCCTCACTTGTCAAGTTTCGAGGTGCTTCCTGATGCCTCCACACACTGTCACTCCACTGCATACACAGGCTGGAAGTCCTTCAGTCAGTCTCTCTGGTGGTACTTCTGTGCTTGGCTATTCCTCAGGTACTCTACAAGAACTATGTCCAGTTGCTGACGCTGAAGGAAACCTACTACTGTTTTTGCTAAACGGTAACGTGGCCAAACCGCTTTCTCAAAGCATTTATAATCACAGCTTAGCGCAGTGTCCAGCTTTCACCAGAAAAGCATCTTACTGCACCTGGCGGTGGTTAGTGCAGAAACCTTTAACTGGCCCAAGTGTTGAGCGTCGATGGGGTGCTTGTGGTACATTATGATACCCCCCACACACACAAAGGTCAGGGAACAGCTCAGAAGAGGGGACAGGCAAGAATGTAAGAGGCGAGGATGGGGAGATGTGCTGCAAAAAGACATCCGTACACAACACAGCTGTTGCACTCATGAACTCATTATCGGCACAAACAAGTCTGCCACAAGAGTGGACCCATCAATGCTTCATCAAGGATGAGGAAAGGGACCAGGGAACCTCATGCCTTCCAGAGGGACTACTGGCAATTAATGCCTGGAGGAGGGCCATTTTATTCAGTAGTGTAGCTGCAGGTATGTTAGCCCTGCTCTGCCAAATTACTTCCTGCCCACATTCAGGCAGTGAGCCATGAATACAAAGAAGCCATAGAGGGGGCCCACTGAACAGAGGGTGCCAGTGGAAGAAAGGTAATGAGGGGGGGCAGGGGTGAAAATGACTGAAATTCATAACGCCAATGTGTGAAACTGTCAAACAATAAAAACATAGGACCCATGGCAGTTCAGTGAGCAGCTGGGATATGGCGGTGTCCCAAAAACTTGTTATATTGTGTTTACTAAAAACTTTAATTCATCTGTATTTAAAAAAAATAACCATGTCCATTTCAGTTCATTGTAATAGCATTGCCAACTAGCTCTGTCATCAGTGTCAATCAGCTCATTCCATAGCATCTCAGGATAGACACTCCATAGCTTCATCATCCGCAACAACCCTGCATAGCACTGGCGTGTATGAAAAAAACCACATTTAAAAAGGGACAGTCTGTGGTCTAAAGGACAGTTTATTGAAAACAAAGGTGACAGGTGTTGAGGGAGAACAACTCTTAACATAAAAGCACACACACAGGAAGTACCTCAAGTTAAAAACAAATGGCAGTTGAAGATGCTATGTCTCACACATATACAAATCACTGACCCTGATTATTTACATCCAAACCTTACAAAATAGCATTTCAAGTCAGCGTTTAAGCCAGTGTTATTAGTTTTTATTACAAAACATTAAAGCTACAAACTTCACATTTTTTAAATTGTACATCAGCAACAGCATTTAAGATTTTTTTTTTTTTTTCCCCTCCAAGTTGGTCTGAGTGCAGGCTGGTGGAAGAGACTTTCCCCCAAACCCAAAGAACGTGGGTTCCAAAGATGATGAATGTAATCCTAATAAAATTACACACACAGTGCTCAAGAAGAAGGGTGAGAGGGGTGACGGGTGTGGATTGGGCAGGAACAACTTCCCCAAAACAAAGGGCTGCAATCTTTGGAGGCCACACAGTGTACTGGGAAGGACAGTAGAGTAAGAACTGGACTCCGTTACACTCTGCTGGCATGACCTTGAGGGACAGGCATTACCAGAGCCTCAGTTTCCTGCTCCACAAAGCAAAGAGATGCACGTGTCTCTCAGAGCTCCCAGGTTTTGGTAGAAAGGGGGCTATTCAGATTGTCCATTTCTTCTTCAGGGAAGCTCAGTTACTTCATACCTTCCCAGGTTATCCATCAGTCCATTTCATTTAAGCTGGTGAATTTATTACCATGAAGCAGCTCATAATATTCTGCTATTGGTCTCAAGGTAGATGTAGTAATGTCATCTCTCCCATTCCTGACATTAGACAGGGGCATTGAGTTTTAAATGGTACTTTACATTTTTGGCATCTGCCAGGTGCTACTCTATAGTGTCAAAGACTCAAGACTTAATACCTGAGGCTTCAGATCGTAGCTTCTATCTATCCACTGACCCAACCCTTCTCAGTTCCAGCCAGTCTAACTCTCGCCCAGTCAATTGGGGTTGAAGAAAAAAATATATGAAAAAAAATAAAAAATGGAAATGTGCTTCAAATTTATGAGTGGGGGCATAACTAAAATATTTTCAGAGACTATGAGGTTTTGTTTGTTTGTTTTTAAAGAAAAGTTAATGTGGGCCATGGCTTCTTAGAAGCAGAGAGTGGAGTCCTCTGTAAGCCTGAGTCACAAATGCTGGAGCTCAAGGGACACAAGATGCCATTCCTGAGATTTGGTTCTCAAGGAAAGAATGACTTGCTCCCTTGCCTGTCACTGGACAACATGTACACGTTGCCAGGAAATTACATTGATCAAAAACAATTGGCTTGTGGCAAAAGACTCTCTCCTACTGAACCAAGCTGCATGGTGTAGACATGCTTGAAATCAAATAAACTCCAGATCTAGGTTCACAGCTGCAGAACAGTCGCAGGGAAAACTATTTTCCTGTGCTTGGCTCTTGCTTCAGAAGGGAGTTGAGGCTTTCTCCTTCTGTCTGGCCAAGCCCAAAGCACTTCTTCTGGAGAGAAAGAGCTCCAAGGCTGGGCTGTTAAATAGCACAACATTATGCATGCCCGGTGCTCTGAGTTTTTAAAAGCTTACTTGACTTAAGAACTTAACTATTAATTCTGTTGTTTTTTTAACCTAGAAAAACACCTCTTACACTTAGCCTTCCTGAGAAGCCATGGCCACTTCGTCTTAAGCATGCAGGACTTTCCTGATTTTGTGACTAGCCTCACAAAGTGATGTCATGTGTCCAGATGCACAGTGTCATGGGAAGGGAATCTTTCAAACTCAATTTCATCATAAGAGAAGTAACTTAATGAGCCCACAGGTTTACTATGAAACCTGTAGTGCACCTGGCTCAGTGTATGAAACTTGCTCCCCAGGGAATGCTAGCTGCCATTTCTCATTCCAGCAAGATCTGCAAAGTGTCCTCTAATTCTCTCTCACGTAGTTCCTTTGCTAGCCAAATCCTGCAGACCAGCTGTCTCTTGCATTTTTTAAAGCTTGCTTTAACGGCAAAGAACAGAATCTGGTCACAGAGGAGAACATCCCCTTCCTTTTTATCGACTCTCAGGTTAGGGAGCAAAAGCAATTATGGAGTTGGATTTCAGTATCCTTGGGTGTAACCCAATCGTGGCTCCCATCAGACAGAAGAGATTAGAAGAAAATAAAAGGGCAACTGTCCTCCCCGTTTCTTCAGACTGCAGTTTTGAGCCAAAGGTGCATGCAGGGCACTCCTCCGTAACTGTCTTTTACAAAGCCCTCTACCCTGCTTCAAGCCTTCCATGAGTGCTTGTCTGTATCTGGAGACAATGCAAGGAGCCCGCTGGTGTGCTGAGAATGAATGACATGCCTCCTCTGGGGAGACGTTCCACAGCAGCTCCAGGCCCAAAGAGGCAAGGCAAAGCAGGAGGCCCTGGGACGACAACACAAGGAGTTGCGTTCTCTCGGTGAAGAGGCTCTTGGTTCAGTGGCCCAGGAGGAGCCCTGAGTTCCAATCCCTGCTTTTACTCTAACTTGATTTGTGACATTGGCAATGTCACCTCTCCTCTCATTTCCCCACCTGCAAGCACAATCAGGGTCAGACCCACTGACTGCTATGGTCCCTTCCAGCTCTGGCATTCTGGGTCCAGCTACGCCTCCTATGAGCAGCCCTGACCCTTGCCAGACCCTCCACAGTGAATGAAGAAATAAAACCATCTCATAAATTGGATGTGGACCACGAACGTAATGCCCTCTACCCTGTATGTAAGAAATGCAGAGCAAAATGCCACATGTGACTTTTCACACTGACAGTGAGATCTTCAAAAACCCTCTCTTTTTTCCAGAGGACACAGCCCTGTTTGCTAGAGAGTTCTTGGTAGGCCTGTCCTTTCACCAGATTGTGTCCCCTCTTAAGGCACTGGGCAGTATCTGGGATGTGACTTTAGGCCGCTGGGAGAGTGGGAATGGATGAAAGGCATTGAAAAAGCAAAGGCTAATTTGCAAAGAGGGTGCCAGGCTTCTGCTAGGACTCAAGGAGCATCCTCAAGTTCTCCAGGCCACTCCCTGGCATCACCAACAGATTCAGAGGCAAGTGAGGACCATACGAGGCGCATCACCATTGTGGCACAAGCATCCCGAGATGGGTGAGGCTGGCTCCCGGGATTCAGTGGCCACCTGAGTGCCTCCCAGTGTCCTCTGCTCTCTTGCCCCACAGTACCATAATCTCACAGGAAAGAGGCAAAGTGTTTGAAACTGTACCTGTACAGAGACGCCACCACACAGAGTGGGGAATCTATTTATAATTTATATATATATATGTATATTTATATATTTCTTAAAAAGGCTTTCAGAGAGAGCAACCAAAAACTATTATGAGAAGGAAAACAAAAAGAGACAATGTAAAATTTTCCCAGCTATCACTCAACTAGGAGTCTCTGTTCCTGGGGTCTAAAATTCTGAGTTAAAAGCGCCAACACAAACCCTTCAAGACACATCCTGCCTGTGTAAATACACCAGATGGCACATCTGTCAAGGTAGCCCTTGCCGCTGGCGCACATTCCTGAGTTCACAAAGGTGCTGTGGGGACATGACAGAGCAGAAGTGCTGGCTGACAGACGTGAGATCAGCGACCCAGAAGCCACCAAAGGCCGGGCTGGTGCCCTCAGAAGTTCTGTTGCCTCCTCTTCTTCGCTTCAATAGCATCCAGGATTGGCTGCCTCTTGGACCGGTACTTCTGCCGGATCTCTTCCATTTCCTGTTCCATCATGGGGTCAAGGGCCAACAGCCTCTTCTGAAGGTCCTCCACAGTCCAACTCTTAAGCTAGAAGAGAAGTGAGGAGTACTGTCACCACAGGGTCTGTGCTGAGAAGCCCAACCTCCTCCAGTATCCAGGAGGAAGACAGGCCGCAGGAAGATACTACAGACAGGTGGTCAAGGGGTAGTGACAGCTAGAGAGTGACAACTAATTCACATGCCGGAGCTATTGAGACCATGACTCCCTGAAAAAGTTTGAAGAACTAATTGTTTTGATTTAACATGTGCCTTGAACAAGAAGTAAAGCACACATTCATTATATATAGTAACTTACTATATGAAAACTAATGGCTGCTTCCCACTTCCTGCCCAATCCATGAGAGAAGCAGGGTCAGTGCGCGTGCCTCTCTCTAAAACTTACCCTGGAGGCCACTATTCGGTGAAGGTGAGCCAGGTGAGCTGCCTCCCCCGACACCGCCAGTGTCATGCACAGCCATACCAATTCTCACTAACATTCACTAGAGTGAAAGCAAAGCCAAGCGTTCTGTGTGGGTCATCTGCATGTGGCTCCTGGACATATGGGCACAAACTTTAGAAAGAAAGGGACTTGATATATAAATTAATGATGGTGGCTAGAGCTTACATGGTGAGCTCTCTGAACCAGAAGAGTAACTCTAATTTTCATAAGGAAGGATAGGAGTATTTTCTTATCCCCATGCCACACGATGGACAAGCCAAGGAAGAGTGACAAAGTAACCTGCCCAATGTCTCCCAGCTAGTGACAGCAGAGCATAAACCCAAGCAGGATGGCTCCACGGTTCACGCTAAGTCAGCTCTGCAGCAAGGTAGGCCAGCCCAGCACCGCCCTTTTTTAACAATTTGTATTTATAACAGGATTCTTGCAAATAACAGGATACTGGCAAATTATGGTCTCAGGCTGGTATGGTGGCACCGCAGCTGTAAGCCCAGCATAGGCAGAAGATTACTGAGAGCTGGAGACCAGGCTAGTTCACACAGCCAGTTTCAGGCTAGCCAAGACTATATAACACTACCTGTCTCAAAAGACAGACAGAAAAGGAAAGCAATTTACCAGTCTCTCTATGCTGCTGTTATCTACAGAAAGGGCCGGCAAAGGCTCATCAGGGTTACTGTAAAAATTAAATGAAATCTGCTGCCCTAAGCGTGACTTGTCGCTGATTTCACACAAGGGCAGTCCTGGTTGGCAGAAGTGTGAGTGAATGCTGGCATTTTCCACACTGGGTGGTGAAATTCACTCCATTGATCCTAAGAAGGTCAGTGTTCTAGAACTCAAAGGCTCGCCCTGTTTCACAAGGGCTCTGTTGTGCCCACATTTATAAACCTATCATACCCTGAGGCCTCCACAGGAACGCATTACAGAAGGTTGGTGAAGGAGCCCCTTTCTGCCCACCTTCCTCAGGAGGTACATTGTGAATGACTGTTATAGTGGCCCCCTTAGAAACGGTTTAGTGGACCTGTCACCACAGGAACTTTCTTTGGCTGGTGTCGGAAGTTTTCCGAGAAGGGAGAAAGGCCTACCAGTTTAAGACGAAAGGCTCTTTGTAAAGGGAGAATGGAAAGACTTTAAAGTATGGGGAAATGCTGGAAAGTTGAGCTGAAACACTGTCTTTTTTTCCAGGCTGTGGTTTTATACCACCTTGGAGGCTGATGGTTTTGGCCCAGGGAAACCCTGAAGACTGATGTCTGCTTGTCTTTAGTATTTTCAATTCCTCTTCCAAAAGAAAACACCAGGCCCAATACTGAACGTTAGTGGTAGCTAACCTTAGTCCTTAGACCACTGTCTGTACTGGCTGTGTTAACCCTAAAGCAACTTCTAGCTTGAGCCTTAGTGTCCTCTGAAAATACAGACAGTCCTAGTCTCTCCCCAAACGGGTTTAAGGAGACTCGGGAGACTACGGGTGCCATGAATGTGGCACTCTTAGCTCAGAACTTCCTATAGTGCATGTCTCACAAACAGTGAGCCCTGATTCAAGAAGTGCTGGTAATCACGGCTGTTATTACTGACATCCCAGAATAGTCTAATAATCTTCCATAAGCAAGGTGTTCATCAAGTAGTAACACAAGTGAAAGGGGAAAAAACCTATTTTACTCATCTGTGCTAACAATGCTTTTCACAATGTCCACTAACTCACAGTTAACAAAGTGTTTTATCCATCCATTTATAAAATATTCACGGCTGAGGATACATACGGCACTTAAATGAAACCAAGGAAACAACAGAAGCCACTGCCCTGATGAAGTTTATGTTCTAGTCAGACAAGGTAGTATCGCCAACGCCTTAAGTCAGTGAATACCCTCATGTCAGAGAGGCTGCATGCTCTGATAACAGGCGAGAGGAAAGGAAGGAAGGGAAACTAGGGAAGTTGTCCTGATGGACAGAATGCGATGGAAACTAAAGGAACTGCACTGACATCCTGACTTGCTCTGTGGCACAGGTGAGCCCCTTCACCCCCAAAGGTCTCTGTCTCCACATAGTTCTCAGACGTCCTCACAAGCTCGGGTGTCTCCACGGACACTTCATCAGAATCTCCTGAGTACCAGCCCAGAGCTACTTTAACAGACTCCTCAGGAAGTCTGGCATCTTAAAGAAACTGCTCAGTATTTCTCATACATCCCCAAAGTGGTAAGCACAACTCTACATTGGCCCTTCTAGCTATCTGTTAGCAAAATTCTTGAAAAACTGCTGCTTGGTCTAAAGCGTCTTTGAGGTTCCTAATTTATCATCTACTCTGCTGTCTTTGATTCTAACCTGGGATAACAGGCACCCAGCCACCTACAGTGTAATCATGGTTGCCCATAGTCCCCTGGGGCTTATGTTATGCCTGCCTAATTAGGACACAGCCAGCAGGGCATGGCTGAGGATTTGATCACATCATCCAGATATGGATTTTTCTGACAAACAAGCTCAGACAATGGTTTTATGGTGCCAGGTGTAGCATTTCACCTTCCTAGTCCTTAGTGACATAAATAAATTTCAAATGGCTATCTTGCAATAAAATATCTGGTTCTATGGTTTTGCTACAACCAGCATCCAAAGGATCAGATTTTCAAACCAGCAGCAATCCGGTAAGTCAGAACAGTTTTCTCCAGGCAGGAGGAACTAAACATGAATATCCGATAGTCTAGGGTTTACCTAAGCTTTCTGTGCCGAGCCTCCCTGTGCCTGTATCATAGAGCCCACCTCTGGACTCCAGGGGCACAACAGAGGACAGATCTTGTCCTGCGGGCTATCTTAGTCCCTGGAATCGCACATGAACTTGCAGCTTGCACCAAAGAAAGCTGTAGAGAATGCCACTCTGCCTCCCTGCCCACCTCAGGGATGTACCACTATCCTCTCAGGAGCTCAAACTCAGCCCCCACCACCCTCCTGCCCACATGCAAGCTTCAGCAATTTTATGGAGCTCATCTCTGATGTGCTAGTGGCATTCAAATCCCATCAGTATTTTCTGTTTCTGCCTCCAGTCCCCTAGACTGAACCACCACCAACCCACAGCAAAAACACAACTAAAACCAGTTTACTCTGGTTTTATTGCCCTCACCTCCCATTCCAGCCTCACTCCTTACAGCCCTAGACTTTGTTTGGTCTATAGACAATTCACTTGGGGGTCCAACAGTCATACTTTTGCGGCTTCCAAGGCCAAGAGAACTGTTCTTTTGTCACAGTGGCTTGTGCTCACTTCATCTGTAGTTTTCCAGATTCTGCTCAGATGTTCACTCCTCAGACATCACAAAACTTTTCTGAGCAGATTATCCAGGGGGCCTATCGCCACCACTCTATTTTTTTTTTTTTTAACATCACAACTCAATGAACTTGAATCATAGGGGAAATACAAAATGATTAAACGATTAGATTAATTTTATAATGAGTCCGTTAAAGCACACAAAACTTAAGCCATTCAGCCACTTTTGTCAGGACAATAGGATACTTTTGTAAATTCCTATTTTCTGTTTCATTTCCTTCCTAACTCCAGAGTAATTTAATTTCATGACCAGGCAAAGGCTGTAGCTGCATTCTCTCTTAAGTAAAAACGTCTGCTCATAAAAAGCACATCTGGTTATTTTTACTTATTTTACTTGTTTTTCTTTCTAGGATGTAAGTTCTATGAGGGAATGAAATGGCCTTGTCTATCTTCTCTGCTCGGCCTTAACTGGCTGAAGGGATGGATGAACAAATGATTCTTCATTTCTGTTGATGACTTCCACTGATGAAGTCATCAATCTTGGGATCCAGAACTTGTCAACAGCCCCACCAGCCAGTCCTTCACCATGAGAGTTTTTGTGCACAGGCGGGGGTCAAACCGTAACATTCTCAAAGACAAAACTCAACTCAATGAACATTTCTGGGTTTTCTGCTGTAAGTCCCAGGTCAGCATGGGTAAAGGGTATGACTAATGTAGTGTTTTCCCTCAAGCATAAGACAACTTCTATTATAAAAATATTCCTTTGAGAAAATGAAATAATCATAATATTAAAAAATGTGACCCTCTGGACAAGACTAAATCAATGGCCACCTCACAGCCACAGGCTCATTACTGAAGGTGGGAACAGACCAAGCACATACAGGGTATGTCTTAAAAAGCTCTCATTTCACATGGAGAACTCAGAATCAGTCTCTTGATGAAGGGCGTCTAGAATTTCTGGGGTCACCTGAAGGTTCATCAACACATCGGCTCTGGGTCAATAGGAAAAAATAGGAAAGAACAGGCTGCACCCCCTCATTGCAGTCTACCAAAGACCCCAACTTCACTGGCCATCGCCTTTCCCTCATAGTGGTGCATGCTGTCTGATGAAGGACCACTCCAACAGCAGTCCTAACAACTGCCCTCCGGAGCCTGGGTAGATTTGCTTTCAGCCTAAAGTTCAGTCTTTAAGCAAGACACAATGTTGCCTTATTACCAACTCCACACTTGTGCATGTAAAAATATACTAATTACTTCAGTATCTGCCATGCACTAAGTGCTGTATATTATCTGCACTGTTTCATTTAACCTGTCTTTAAGGTAGGTACTATGATTGCTCTCCTTTTAC